TTCCAGTTTTTTGTAGTAAAATTAGGTGCCTCAGCTTATATTTGGGTTGGCTTATGCTTGAGTATATACGGTATCTAACCATGTCATGAAATTTCTCGCAATGTCATCTCTTCTATCAATCCAAAAAGAAGAACCCAGTTTAAATTGATAAAAGCTTTGTCCAAAAATATCAATGAAGCCTGCTTCTTGTATCCTTTCTTCCAAGTATTCCTGTATATTCAAGTATTTTCTGATCTTTGGGCATTGACTCTGGCTTCTTGTCTTCCTGCACACCTTCCAAAAGTTTTCTATATTTTCTAACATCACTTGCTTTCTTCAAGAAATCAATTCTAAATCTTTGACCCTTAAAAGTACATTTCAGTCTTTCCAAATTTTCCCATGTAAATGAAATTTTCTTCTGCATTTTATTTATTTATTTATTTATTTATTTATTTGCCACATTTATACCCTGCCCTTTTTACCCCGAAGGGGAGTCAGAACAGTTTACATATAAGGCACTATTTGATGCCTCACAATTATACACCAGATAAAATGAACAATGCATTAAAACCAAGCACTAAAACCATATCAAACATTAAAATCACTTATTAAAGTCACATAATCCAATACCATAGTCGAAGGCCATTCCAATTGTCATTGCACTATTCTGCTTTCACTTATTGCACTGTGATATTGCTATCTAAAAGCTTAATCCCACAACCATGTTTTTAACTTTTTCTAAACGTCAGGAGGGTGAGGGCTGATCTGATTTCACTTGGGAGGGACTTCCACAGCTGAGGGGCCACCAGTGAGAAGACCCTGTCTCTCTTCCCCACCAATAGTGCCTGCGAAGGAGGCGGGTCCAGAAGCAGGGCCTCCCTAGCAGAACTTAATGTCCAAGATAATTTGTAGAAGAAGATAAGTTCAGACAGGTAAATTGGACCAGAACCATTTAGAGTTCTGCACACATACACAATTGTTTAAGAAGTTATAAAAATTACTTATTTTGATTAAAATATCTAGATCCTCCCAATCAGCACACCTGGAGTTCTAATCCAAGGAAACCCCCTTTTCAGGTCTACTATTTGCTTTATTCATTCCACATTCAAATATTAATATATTCCTCTGACCTTTAGGTACCCCCTTCAAAATTTCAAGCAGACATGGCTTCAGTTTCTGGGAATCCCAACTCCCTGTGGATATATTCAAAATCTCAAAGACATTTACATTTGTGCATGCGTGTGTTTGTGAAGCTTTCAAATGGGACCAACTTTACAAGGCTTAGTAAACTCCTCAAGCAGGGCCTAGAGAGGCAAAAGAATAGCACAGTGCCAGCTGCAATATAAATTACTGATTAGAAGAGCTGCCAGAGCCTCTATTGTGAGAGCACCGTATGAGCCAGTGATCGTGAAAAGGTTAGCTTAACGGTGGAGGCGCCTGCGGCTGTCATAAATGACACTTTACTTTCCAATTCTGAAGGGGAGAATATCTCTGAACTTTTCTCTGAAAGGTTAACTTTGTGAAAATGAGAATTATATTGTTTTGTGACATCAGAAGACACAGAAAGGCATAACCTATGCTTAACATTTAGCAACATTATCGCTGCAGTCATACCAAATATTACAAAAAGTTCTTTTTTAAAACTCTCTGTCAAGTGTCGTAAAATAGCATTGCTCAAAAGCGCTCCTGTAAAATGAATTAATATAATTTCTAAAATATATTGCTGAAAGAGAATTGAATATAAAAATATGGACTCCATTGAAATAAGGCAGTTCTTTTCTAAACTCCTCCCTTAAGAAAAGTAGATGGTTTGCTCTGAACAAAAAGTCCTTTGGACTTGGGGATATTTTAATATTAAAGAGAAATTTGACAAGAGATATATGCAGCAAGTTAAATTAGTAATGTTGAATGGTTAGTAGTGTAACAACAGGGGGCAAAATGAGGGCTCAAGAATGAGAATACCTTTGTCCAAATTGAAGTTTCCTTCTCACCAAAAATGTATGGTATGGAGTGAGCCAGACATGGAAAATGGTTCACACCGCAAACTTTTTTATTTGTTACTAGCTGTTCCCGGTAATCTGTTGCTGTGGCCCAGTCTGGTTAAATGAAAGCAAAAGAAAAGAGAATGAGCAGGTTTCTAATTTTGGGAGATTTAAGGTTTTGAGCAAATGGACATTTACTGCTTTATTTATATAGATAATAGTCTAAATGATGATTATAATAATAATAATAATAATAATAATAATAATAATAATAATAATAATAATGGTCTATCAAAAATACATCACACAGTCCTAGACACTTGGGAAGCTTGGGAATGGCAAGAGTTCGACTTGTTAAAGGTCAGAGATATTGTTCTATAACTCCAGTTATCTTCACAGATAACACCCAAGCCTGGCTACAGTATCCTTTCCATGGGGTTGAATCCAATGCATTAATAACTTGGCACTTTAATCACTTGGTTACCGTCCTTCCTACTTTACAACATCTCTTTAAATATACTTTACTTTCTTCTTAACTTTGGCAAAATCTTCACACTGAGAAAAACTAAAGTGTCCATGCCTGCCTGTGCCGTGCATGTTTTGTGCCATGGCACAGAGAGTGCGAGAGGAAAACCAATCTAAAGCATGGGTTATTGTTGGAAAAACCCATGTAATAAATATCGAGCAGAATAGGCAATCTGCCTTCTTTGTTCACACATGGGAAAATTGGAGGTTTCAGTGAGATATGGTATTAGCATACTCCTACACAGGAAGATTGCGCAGGAAAACGGGAAGCAGGTGGCAGTTACAGATCATAGGAGATAATGTTGTATTGTGTTATTTCTGCCTCACCACACCACTCCCCAAAATATATGTATACCCATCTTGCTTTAAGCTCTCCCTAGAGGGGTTGGTTTTTGACTCATGGTGTCCCAACTGAATGGCAAGAGTAATCATCTTTTGTTTGCCTCTTTTTTCCAGTGACTTTTCTGGAATACTGCATCTTGGAAAGAGCAGCATTTACGAGCTGGGTTTGATATTATGTTTTTTGGAGTTTGCGTGCTCTCTGGTTTTAATTTGTTCTAAAAGAGTATTTCAACTTCTTTTTGAAGTCTTTATCTCTTTTTTGTTTAAAATGTTTTTACATGTGGTCTATCACCTTGGGAAGCTTGATAGGCTGGAAGACAATATTTAAATATAACATTTTTTTAAATAAAAGTATCGCTTTACAATTTCTCTTTTCAATTTAGACAGAAGCCTGGCCATAACCCCAAAAGATGTTCCCATTGGCCCAGGATGTGTTTACATTGTAGAATTACTGCAGTTTGATACCACTTTTAACTGCCATGGCTCAATGCTGTGGAATTAAGTTGAAACTAAAACCAGGCAAGACAAAGATACTCCTGGTCAGTCGTAAGACGAATCAGGGTGTGGGATTTCAATCTGTGTTGGATGGGGTCGCATTCCCTCTGAAGATACAGATCCACAGGGGGTGATCCTGGACTCACCATTGACCCTGGAATTCCAGGCGGTGCCCAGGAGCTCCTTTGCACGGCTAAAACTTGTGCACCAGCTTCACCCATACCTTGAAATAGCAGGCTTGGTCATGGTAGTCCATGCCTTAGTCCATCCCATTTGAACTACTGCAATATTCTCTATGTGGGGCTGCCTTTGAAAATAGTTCGGAAGCTGCAGTTAGTGCAGAGATCAGCAGCTTGATTGCTAACTGGAGCACCATATTGTGAGAGGACTTCTCCCATGCTGCGACAGCTTCACTGGTTGCCGGTCCGCTTCCTGCCTAAATACAAAGTGCTATAATGCCCTAGATGGTTCAGGCCCAGGGTATTTGTCAAATCACATCTCCTTGTATCACGTACTGAGTAGTCTACAGAGGACCCCCCCCCCCCAATTCTCGTTCCCACCTCCATCACAAGCTCGGCTGGTGGGAACGAGAGAGGGGGCCTTCTCTGTGATTGCTCCCCATCTCAGGAAGTCTCTCCCTAAAGACATAAAAATGACCCCCACCCTCCTTTCCTTTAAGAAACTTCTAAAAATGTATCTATGCCCTTTAGCATATGGAGGAGGATTAGGACTGCTGGCTAATGATACGTCTTAAATGTAACATCATTGTCAGCCATTTTTAATGTAATCTCTGATAATTTGTCTTTAGGGTGCACATTGTAATGTTTATGTTTTAGTTTTTGTCTTAATTGATTGTTTTTGTTATTTTATTTTGATGCTTAATTCCTTGTTGTAAATTTTCGGTTACTCATTATTTTGTATTATTGATGTGTTTCCATCTATTTTGAGGCATTGAATGTTTGCCTTTTTATGTGTAAATGGCCTTGAGCTCCTCCAGCAAGAGAAGATGATCTAGAAATAAAGTATTATTGTTAGTATCATCATCATCATCATCATCATTATATTGTAGTAGTTTGGTGAGGCGGTAGCACTTTTATAGAGAAGGCTAAGGATCTTGAAAAACTACAACTCTTGTTGTAGTTGAGCCATGGCAGTTAAACTGAAGTCAAACTGCATTGATTCTACAGTGCAAGTGTATCCTCAGTCAGTTTTGTGTTCCAAGTGGCAATGCTTATCTTCTTGTCTTCCCTCCATTGGGTTTTCCTCTTTCCCTATTTCAGGACATTGTTGTGAGGATAAAACATGTGGAAATGTGATATGAATGTTGCCTTTCCCTTCCATGGTCTGTATATTCAAATAAAAATGATGATTTTTATTTCACACTTCTGATATCTCAACTTATGAAATGAGTGGCTTGGCAACAAATAAGCATTTCTCTGACATACACGCAAACCACCCTTGCTTTGACATTTCTGCGAAGAAACAAGGATTCTGGAGTAACTGGAACCAAGCCAGAAGGCACTGGGTGGAACAGCACTGCACAGAACTGGCATTTGGAAGCTGTTTCCCTGGAGCGTTTTCTTTCCTGAAGTTGCTTCTTGGAGATAGACATCTGTTATCTGCCGTGTTCACATTGTCTTTGCTTCCGTTGTCATTGTTCATTTCTGCCTTTTACAGAAAGGTTTATCTGTACAGTCCAGATGGGTGTTGTCTCTGGAAGACTGTGAGCTTTGCAAAACAAACGCAGGGGGAAAAAATCCACTTGGCAGAAAGACTCATACAGGAATTGAAACACCCAAATACAAACGCTGATCCTTGAAAATGTGAGCATCACCATATTTGTGCAGAGGTGGTGGCAGATCCCTAGTGTCTCCTGAGGATTGACAGAGGGGGGCTTTTTTAGGGTCTTGTTAATACTCTTGACAGTTTATTTCTTCTGTTTTTTGTATTATCCTATGCAGAAAGAAAAATTGAACCTGGCACTGGCAAGTTGGAAACCTAAGGAGTAACCAAAGCTCCTGTGGGAAAGTGAAGAGATGGGAGATTTCCCCAACACCCATAGTGCAACCTTTAATTCCAATGTGGAGATAAATAAAATGAGATTAATTAGTTTATTATTTATTAATTCACCCTATTTATACCCCCACCTCCAAGGAGACTCAAGGCGGCTTACAAAAGAGGCAATTATTGAATGCCTTAAAACACATACAATTCCAAAATATTAAAATTAAAAATTAAGTTAAAATTCATACATATTATATATTATATGATCTGAAGAGAAACCAGAGTATATTAGATATTTAAAAATATTACAATCCATATCAAAATCACACCATCCATAATCGTCAAAGCCATTCCATAATTATTGCACATATTCCAAATCTGTTATTTCACTGCACTGTTTTTCAAAAGCATGATCCCACAGGCAAGTTTTTCATTTTCTTCTGAAGGCTAAGAGGGAGGAAGCTGATGTAATGTCACTGGGGAGGGAGTTCCATAGCTGAGGGGCTGCCACTGTGAAGAGCCCCCTCTCTCATCCCCACAAGTCGTGCTTGCGAGGGGGGTGGGGCTGAGAGCAGGGCCTCCCCAGACAAATTTAATCTGGTTCATAGGTGGTTCGTAGAAGGAGATACGTTCGAACAGGTAAGCTGGACCAGAACAGTTTAGGGCTTTATAGGCTAAATCCAGCACTTTGAATTGTGCTCGGAAGCATACTGTCAGCCTGTGGAGCCAGGGGAGTTGTGTGCTTCCTGTACACCGCTCTGTATGTGAGTCTCATATTGAGGCTTGTAAAATATATAGAAGTGCTTAAACAGAAACTGGCTGGGAAGTACATGCTTTGATCTTTTTTCTTTTTCATTGGGAGTCTGCAAGCATGATATCCCATCATTTGTAGGCACTGACTCAACAACTGTGTCATTTCTTGCATTTCAAGGTGACGGTGTAATGGATGGGAAGACAGATTCCTTGGTAATGACCATGCATTTGCTTGCCAAACCAGGACACGCACTCCCCTTGCAGCAAGCCCTTGACAAGCTTCAAGAATGGATCTGTCTGGATGTGCGTCTCTTCCTTGTTTCAGAGCGTTCATCTCCTATTAAATATTATGAGACTTACCGCCAAAAAAGCACCAGGTTTCCTGGAACATCTGTTCTGCTCTTTCTGCATGAAGACCTGGGGGAAGAACGGATCTTCCAAGTCCATGATTTCTTTCAATATCCACCATGGCAACGTATCCACATCGAGAGTGCTGGTGGGAAGCAGACTCCTGATGCCCTGGCTCACCAGGGTTTCTATGGGCTGGATGAGCACATGCCCGTTTGGGGACTCAGGCAAGTGCACTATGGTACGGAAATTGTGCGTGTCACCCTCTACTGTAGTTTTGACAACTATGATGACGCGGTGAGGCTCTATGAGATGATTCTGCAGCAAGAAGCGACGGTGCAGAAAAGCACCTTTTGTGCCTTCGTGCTTTATGCAACCCAAAGCATTGCGGTTCAGCTCTGTTTGAAGCAGCTGCCTGTGGGGATGTGTGTTGACTCCAAGGAGTCTTCAGTGTTGCAGTTCCAAGTGCATGAAATTGGACAGCTGGTTCCTCTTCTCCCAAATCCCTGTGTTCCAATAAGCAGCACACGGTGGCAAACAGAAGACTATGAAGGAAACAGGATCCTACTGCAGGTATTATTTTGTCTATAAATGGTGGGGTGATAGTGCAGCAGGGCCATTCTTCTCTGAATTAACATATGACTTCTGGGTCACATATGGCTCTGGCCCTTTTAATGAGCTTTGCTGAATTTTCAGGCTTGTAAAGCTTCCCTTAAATGTTTATCTATTGCACTAGATATTGAAAGACAGTATTATAATGGTGGATTACTGTTGCAGTGGTTGATATCCTTGCAGTAGACACTGTATTAGACTGTTTGTTGTTGCCTTTTTCATAAGAATTATATTTAGCTCTTTAAAAATATTTATGTAAGGAAGGGTTGTTAAGGCCTGGGGTCTCCCCATGATTTGCCAGAATTCTGTCAAAACAGATAGGCAGGGCACTTTAGTTTTCTGGCATTGCATTTCGTTGCAGAATTCATACAAAACTAAGACCTATGGCAAAATAATGTTATGATATTGCCTGGGATGTCGGTAAACCAGGCCTCCAAGTGTAAGTCACTTGCCTCATACAGAGAAAACCAGTAGTATTTTTAGGACACAAATTGTTTTCGTTGCTCTAAAAAGTTGTGAAATACTTTTATGTTTTGTTGAAGATTATTCCAGTGGCTTTAAGCCAGTGGTTCTCAAGCTGTGGGTCCCCAGGTATTTTGGCATTCAACTCCCAGAAATCCTAACAGCTGGTAAACTGGCTGGGATTTCTGGGAGTTGTAGACCAAAACACCCAGAGACCCACAGGTTGAGAACCACTGCTTTAAGCAGTGGGTAGAATGTGACTGGTGGAAAGATGTGTGGGTAGGTGACCTATAAACTGGCACCTAAAGTTGATCATGGTGGCAAGACATATACAGTAAAGGTTAGATCTTAAGTTTTTAATATGCTGCTTATATCAGAAACTTTTCATTATTAATTTGCTGGCAAATGCCTTTGAGTAGATCAGGTGAAGACTTGGCTATACCACCAGTGCCAGATTATAATTAGCTTCTTTTTTCTTTCATAGGTTCAGGGCATTTCAAATCACAGTGGACACCAATGTTCACCATCCAGTTCGCTAACTTTGGATAAGGAAGAGCCCCCTTGTTATCATGCAAGTTCATCCCAGGTGACTGCCAAAAAAACTGCTGTAACACAGAAAAACCGAACTCTCAGAGCCATGAAGAATAAAAATAAATCTGCGCAGAATCGAGCACATCTTTCAGGAAATCATTGTGGTCAGTTACAAAAGACCATTTGCTCATCAACCCGCTCATACAGCCCAACAGAGTCTTCTCAACAGGACCAAAGTACTTCCCACGGAAGATTGGCTACTAAGTGGAGACACTCCAGCCACGAACTCTGGTTGCATCAAAAGGACGAAGAGATGAATGTTGATACAGGCAACAGAGTAGTATCCCCTGAGTGCAGTGATTCCCCGCTAAATAGGTTTTCAAAGGACCTGGAAGATATACTTCTTCAGTCCTGGGCACCATCCACTTCAGTCCCAGGCACTGACTCCAGAATCAGCTTACTTTCCAAAGGGAGAAACCCTGCATTGTCACATAGTGATAAAAGGACTAAAGACTCAGGACACAGAGTGCCAGGTTTTGACTTGGGAACATCAGAAGCAAAGTATGGAAATAGAGAGGAGGAGGAGGAAGAATTCTTTATATGACTTTCTTTTCTAGCTTCATTTCTAAGTGCCTTATTTCTGAAATGACAGAATGAACAATCTGTATGCCGCACAAAGACCCTGTCCTTGTGTAGATACCCCAGCTACCTATACTACCTTTTCATATTAGTGTTTTTAAAAAGAAAGCTTAAAAGTAGTTTGCAGGAAATCCCAAATGTTTATGAGCTTATTATGACTAATTCTAGGGCCCAGAAAAAAAGAGCATAAAAGATTTGAGCTACGTTTCATGTTCTAGAGGACTATTGTGCAATAGATTGTTTTGATGCTTTTTGAGCTTATTGTTGTGTGCCTTCTGGCTTAGTTTTGGGTTGCCATAAGTCAGTAATTTCTGACTTACGGCAGCCCTAAACTAATCTTATCACAGAGTTTTCTTGGCAAGATAATTAGTCATTGCCTTTCTCCGAGGCTGAAAGAGTATGACTTGCCCAAGGTCACCCAGTGGATTTCCCTGGCTGAAAGGGGATTTGAACCCAAGAATCATAGTCCAGCACCCAAACCACTACATACACTGACTTTCGCACTTACAAAGTGTCATTACAAACTGGGTAGAGGATTTTCTTCCTCTTATAAAAGCTTTTAACATCTGTCTGCTGCCCCCATTTGGTAACACAGCAATTTCACAGTCTGTCCTTTTGTCTGTGCAGCAGAATTACATTGCCAGTTTGCCCAGAGCTTTTTCTAATTTTTGCAGATGCATCCCATTTAAGAGACTTTTGGGACCATAGAGTTTACTGCATTCCAGTGGCTCATGGATGACTACTCTGCATGAGAGAGTGGCCTGCTTTGTAGTGTGTAATGCCATGCTGGGTTAGAATCCTTGCAGTAATAAAGATGCTGGAGTTCTCTATGATGAGTGGTTTTTATATTTGGTAGATGGCAAAGTAAGCAAATATTCTACCATATAGCAAGAAATACTATGTTTTAGAAGCTAGGATTATTGAGCTGTCAATTAAATGACAACTTGCAAATATTTCCAAGTTGTTATTTTAAAATTGCAGTCTCAATATCTTCTATTGGGAGTTCCCTTTGTTTTTCTTTCATTGTAAGTGTCTGTTGCTGTTGTGAGCCTTAACATTATTTCTAAACAATGGTAATTCTAAGGTCTGGAAGCCAAGCCCTATGGGGAGGGCTGGGGGAGCTGAGTATTTTTAGCTTGAAGAACAGAAGGTTACAAGGGGACATGATAGTCATGTTGGAATATTTGGAAGAATGTCATACTGAGGAGGAAGCAAATTTATTTTCTGCCACTTTGAAAACTAGGACTTGGAACAATGAATTCAAATTACAGGAAAGAGCTGTCCAACAGTGGAACTCACTGCCTCGGAATGTGGTGGAGGCTCCATTTTTGGAGGCTTTTAAACTGAGGCTACATGGCCATCTGTTGGGGATGCTTTGATTATGTACTCCTACATGGCAGGGGGTTGGACTGTACCACCATTGTGGTCTCTTTCAACTCTTATTATTCTAATGTGAATTTATCAGGAGATTTTCGTGCCAAAATTTGTTCAGAGGAAGTTTGCCTTCCTCTGAGGCTGAGAGATTATGGCTTGCCCACAGTTACCCAGTGGGTTTCCATGACCAAGCAAGGATTCAAAGACTGATAATCCAGGGTTGTAGTCCTACACTCAAATGACTACACCACCCTGGCTCTGTTGTTGTCTCTGCTCATCTTGTAGAACTGGTTCTTGCTTCATATGACATCTAGTTGTAGAGCAATGGCACTGTTAACCTGACTAAGGCTGTTCTTCTTGATGCATGAATAGTGATGTAATAGACTCAGGGTTTGCCAGCTTCAAGTGCCAAGGTGTTTTTTTTTTATGGCAGAGATGATTATGTAAATCAACACATTGACTGTATTGTTTATTCCCTCTGACCTTCACTGCAGTCTACACAGCAGCTAGTGGGGAGGGGAATACTTTTTTTGGGATGTACTCCTGCTGCACTGTAAAGTATTTTGAGGTGGCTTGCTCTTGAATGGGTTATTAGATCCATTAATTTTGCCATTTTATACAATGGCAAAATCAAGACTTGCTTTTTGGGGGGTTTTAAAAAATATTTTAAATATGTGGGTGGTGGAATCTGTGGTTATGGAAAGCTGCCTGTACATTATTGTTCAGTTATTCTCCTCCCTCCAGAGTTTAGCTAACCTTGTTTGCCACCTTTTTGCTACTTGTTTACAAATGGAATATGAAAAAGCCCTAGCATGTCTCCAGAAATGTGTGCCTTAGGCCATCTTCTTGCACCTGAACTCTAGAAACACAATGCCGTTTGAACTAGAAACCTTTATCAGTTTTTTCCCCTTTGTTAATACTCTAGTTACTGCAGAAATGCTGTCTGAGTGAATAGGCTTCTTCCTGCTTGTGCCGCTCCGCTTGATGACGCTTGATAATGAAAGGTACACCAGGCTTATTGCATGTGGCTTGTGCCTATCGCTTTCCAAGTGCTCTTAACACCAGAGGAGGTGAAGTGATGAGTTAATAGTACAACTGAGTCATATTCAGTAGCACATAGCAATATAAATACATGAACATATGGTCAGTGTTGATGTGAGTGGGTATACCTGAATGGATGAGATGGCCTATCCCAGGCCGTCTCTACACGAGTATTTCTGCCCTGCTGAATCTGGAATCAGTGAGTAGACAATGTAACCTGCTTCTGTAATGGCACATCCCTATGACCCCACTACCGCCAGCTATAGAGCTCCCTGTGAACACCAGGTTGTCATATCTGCTGATGTCAGAATGGGTGCTCCATAATCAGCAGAGCAACCTCTTGTCTTGCTGTTCATACAGATGCCCCATTCTGACATCAACAAATGGACAGGCAATGGTCTGGCACTTGCAGGATGATCCGTGATTAGCAAAGAGAGATGATCCTTCTCCTGCCCCTGAGCTTTTTCTTTTTGTGTCAGGAGTAACTTGAGAAATTGCAAGTCACTTCTGGTGTGAGAGAATGAGCTATCTGCAAGGATATTGCCCAGGGGACACCCAGATGTTTGACCATCCTGTGGGAGGCTTCTCTCATGTTCCCACATGAGAAGCTGGAGCTGACAGACAGGAGCTCACCCCACTTCCCGGATTCGAACCATCGACCTTTCAGTCAGCAGTCCTGCCAGCACAAGGGTTTAACCCATTGCACTACCTCAGAGAAAGGATGATAGTGGTGGTGCCCATCTGGACAGTGAATTGGGCTGAAACAGGTCTAATCAAGCTATCCATTTGACTGCAAAGCCCCAGGAGGCTCTAGAGCAGGGCTTCTTAAATGTTTCCCGCTCACGACCCCTCTCTGCTCAAGAAATCTGAATATATAGGCATATAATATTGGTATAACACCGCCCAGAAAATTTTGGTTGTTGTCTGGGCTTTTAGTCCTATTCCTGGGGTATTTGTGGCGCTGATTCAGAAAGATCGCAGGTTCAAATCCGGGGAGCAGCGTGAGCTCCCGCTGTTAGCCCCAGTTTCTGCCGACTAGCAGTTTGAAGGATGCAAATGTGAGTAGATCAATAGGTACCACTCCAGTGGGAAGGTAATGGCACTCCATGTAGTCAGGCTGGCCACATGACCTTGGAGGTGTCTATGGACAATGCTGGCTCTTCAGCTTAGAAATGGAGATGAGCACCAACCCCCAGAGTTGGGCACAACTGGACTTAATTTCCAGTTTGTAAATACTGTATGTTGTTGCTGACAGATTTGTGTTAAGGTCAAGAAACCTTTTCCTCTTGTCAAATTTTTGTGACTCCAACTTTGAGCTAAGAGGACCCCATTTGAGGCCAGGATTGATAGTTTAAGAAGCAGTGTTCTAGAGCAGTGATTCCAGAACTCTAAGCTTCCAAGTATTTTTGAACTTCAAATCCCATGAGCCTCAACTGCCTTATACAATGATCAGGACTTTTGGGAACTCAAGCCTAAAACCCTTGAAAGGCTGAGGGAGACTGAAAGACTAGCGTTTGGGAAACACTGCTCTGGATTTTCCTGTGAACTCCAGAGTATTCTCCAACTTTACCTAAAGGAGAGCAATGTCGAGCTATGGGTAAATATCCAGGATACTTACCAGAAGTCCCTGTGCAATATGTAGACAGCCAGCAATGGATTTTAGGGGAGTCCAGGTTTTTTTCATGTAGACAAGCCCTCAAAGAGCTACTGCCAGTTAGCATACACAATACATGTCCAGATGGAACAACAGTTTGGCCTTCTCTTGCTTACACTGGAACAGACTGAAGAAAATGTGTTATCAGCTATCAAGCTACACAGTTTTGCTGGCATTTATTTTCACATATTTCTATTGTAGTAAATTCAATATTTGTGAACATGATCTTCAAACAGAATGTATGGTTGAGCACACCATGTTCATGTTATTTATAGATGGCTCCTATATTTAAAGAAATAAACACTAATTTATATTCACAAAGTGAGACCTATACTTTTAAATATTGCATGCATTCTACTCTCTTAGCAGTTAGAACACTCTTCATACCACAGTGCCATAAATATTCATCAGAGCTGAGAAGTAATGAGTTACAATGATTAATTGTAATTGGTCACATTTTACAGAAATGAAGTGAATAGTGGTAACCTAACAAGATAACCTAACCAGGCCCTCTGGTGGCGCAGTGGATTAAACAGCTGAGCTACTGAACTTGCTGACCATAAAGTTGGCGGTTCAAATCCAGGGAGCGGGGTGAGCTCCCGTTGTTAGGCCCAGCTTCTGCCAACCTAGCAGTTTGAAAACATCCAAGTGTGAGTAGATCAATAGTACTGCTTCTGCAGGAAGGTAATGACATGCCATGCAGTCATGCTGGCCACATCACCTTGGAGGTGTCTACGGACAACGCCGGCTCTTCGGCTTAGAAATTGAGATGAGCACCACCCCCAGAGTTGGACACGACTGGATTTAATGTCAGGGGGAAACCTTTACCTTAACAAGGAATAACAAGTTTCCTTTGATTGCAAAAAGTTATGTGCCAGTAGTCTTACTAAACAGTAGAAGTAAAATTGTGGCTGGTTAAAACATTGCTGTGTGCTGTTGCCTTTTATTTATATTTACAGATTTACATTCTGCTGTGGGTTACATGCATAGGAACACACTGTTCCATTCTGACTCCTGGAACTTTTTGCAGATTGAGGAAGAATTGTCTCCAGTTCTGGACACCTGAATTCAAGAAGGATATTGATAAGTTGGCACATATCCGGAGGAGGGTAACCAAAAATGGTGAAAGGTCTGGAAACCAGGCCCTATGAGGAGAAGTTTAGGGAGATGGGTATGTTTAGCCTACAGAAGAGAAGGTTGGGAGGAGACATGATTGCAAAGTTTAAATCTTTGAAAGGCTGTCATGAGAAAGAGGGAGCAGGCTAGTTTTCTGGTGCTCTAGAGACTAGGATTCAGAGCAATGATTTCAAATTGTAGGAAAAGAGATTCCACCTGAACATTAGGAAGAACTTCCTGAACGTAAGAGCTGTTCAGCAGTTAAACTCCTTCCTTGGAAGCTTTTAAATAGAAGCTGGATGGCCATCTGTCAAGAATGCTTTAATTATGTATTCCTACATGGCAGGAGATTGAACTGGGATGACTCTTGCAATCTGTAAGAGCAAACACTCTGTATCACATCTCTAAACAGTAGCCACATCTAGATGCTCGAGGGAGTTCATAAATTAGTACATGCCTTTTTAATTAACTCTTTAATTTATACCTTGCCCGTCTGTCCTGTCAAATGGCATTAAAGACATCTAGTACTAATAAAGTACAGATTAAAGTGAAATAATTAAATATAATGTAAGACATTTATCACACAAGGCTCTTAAAATGGATTCTGCTGTTGTCAACCCATCTTGTTTGAGACAAGAACATGCCTGCCTAGCCCTGCTTATCATACCAAGCCTTTGGGGGTGACCTTACCTACAGGGATTCCTCTCAATTCCTCTCAACAGTGCATTCCCTGTCTTCAGTTCCCCCTTTTGCTTTTGTTTTCTAATAGAACTATGGTGCTCTGAGAGTTCAAAGACTCAAAGCTGCACATCGCTTTATCTCATATTTTTCAAAGTACTGAAGCACTGTTCATAAGCACAATTGAAATATTGATACAAATGAGCATTTTGCAGTTTAAAGACTTCTGTTGTGTTTATTCTGTGAGAGGGAGGTGTAGTTTGCACTTTGTGTTGGTTTCGTCCCTGGACTGCAGAAGTCTCTTGTGTCATCAAGTTTCCAGTCCTCAATGAGTAGCTAGGCTAGAGAGAGGGCTAACCTGAGGGATTCCTTCCCCAACATTCCTATAGATTTTTCCCTAAAGGGCTTTGTCTTTTGTTTTCACTGCTAGCCACTGTCTCATCCCCCTTTGTTGATGTATTAATAGGATTTTGTGAGGGAACTTCCTTTTAAGTTTAGAACTGCCCTGGGTTGACCATTTTCTGAGTTCTGCTTTTTTTCTACCTATGAAGATGCACATTTTGCCTCTCTCTAGACAAAATGTAGCTGCATGGACTTCTTACCCTTTTATGTCTTTGGAAGATGAGATTTAGTAAGCTAGTTAGCTCCAATATTTTTCTATCAAGAATGTATTTTTGTATTTCAATAAATATTTTTGAACCTAAAGTTCTGACTCTGCAATCCTGATCCATCCTAAGAACAGAAGCTTATCCCAGTTTCACCACACAAAAGTTTCTGCTGGTTATGAAGTTTACTTCTGGTACTCTACTATATTTATGGCGGAATCACCCCAACTGAGGGTTATTTTTGAGCCTAACAGCTCAGATTCCCCAACATTTTGAAAACTTTTTTAATGAGGCAAAAGTATGCATAAGTCAGAAGTTCTACAAAAATGTTATTTGTCGTGTTTAAAAAGCATTAATTAACAGGGAAAATCATATTAGAGACACGGAGCTTTGAAGTTCTTTCATTTAAAGCCACCCCCCCCCCTTTTTTTTAAAGGAAGCAATCAGGGATGATAAGGAAGAAAGGGTTAACTTTTTGCTTTGCAGCCAAGAGAATGGCAACACACAACATACCACCAATAGATGTCACAGTCCCCCAAAACCCATGGCTGAAGTGGATTCATGGTACTGAATAGCAGAAACCACTTTGAAAAACTCTGAATTTGTGTTCACCATAAGATGGGGAAAGATTTTCATATATCACTGCTTTAACACACTTTAAGGATGGGTTTAAGACGATGCCATTAATTGGAAATGACTTGAAAAACAACAAGAAAATAAATAAGAAATGTATTCTAAAGCCCATTTTAGTCAAATAACATGTTTACCTTTTAAGTTCTGAGTGCTGTTCTTGTTATGGCTGTTTTTGCACACTTTGTCTAGGAGGCATTATGAGCCAGTGTCTCTGGGGGATTTCATTACTCCCATCCCAGGGAAAATAGGATGATAGGAAAGGAAAACATGGAGGCATTTTTAAAAAATGATAATGTTGTACAGCTTCTGCTTTTCTCTCCAGCAAGGCCAATTAGTATGCGGAAGGCTTCCCATCCCTCTGCTGCTTATTGAGAAAATAATCCAGGAAATGTCTTAGAGCACTGTTCTAATTTTTGTTTGTGAGTTTAATATTCAATGTTGAAATTTCTTTTCTGGTCTATTCTGGGTCTGGTTCCAAAGAAAAAAAGAATGGATTATGTGAGCTATCCTCGGTGCAAATAAATTAGAAATAGAAGGCTGCAGTGATTGAAAGAAGCAGGATAAAACAGACAGGGCACGTTTGGGAACATGTAGAAGTCATTTGGTTGGGCTAAAAGGCTGGAAAGGTAAGAAGGACATGATTTGAGAGATGATGGAGTCCTAAAGTTGCAAGAACTCATGGGGATTCCATGGAGCCTGAAATTACAAACAACAGCCTTTGTTTAGCCAGCAAAAAGCAGTAGGTCTCTCTTAGCTGCAGGGCATTTGTTGCCAAGGGACGTGAGCAGGATTTCATAGTAACTTAGAGACACAGTAGAAAAATTCAGGATTTTTGCCTAGTGAGCTCTGGCCCCAGACCTAAGAATATGACTTCAAATGGTTAGACTCCTTTTGTAATAAAGAAAAATGTCCATGGGATTTCTGTTATTTGAATTAGGCATTGCAAAGTGTTCATGGAAAGAGGTGTGTTTTTATGTGCATATACAAGCACGTCTGGGAATGTATGCACTGTTTGTGGATACCACTAACAGTAATGGAGTCTCCCAGTTTTTCAAGAGAAAATTCAAGCCAAAAGTCCCTTGAAAACTGCTTAGTAAAAGTTCAGGATTTGTTCTAATCCATAGTTTAGAACAAAGCTCAGAAGAATTCTTTTCCTTCACTGGAGGAATTCTAAGAATTTGTACTCCAAAGAAGGAACTTTTCCAAGCTCTGAACCAAATGTTAAGAATAGCTATGAAGACCATGAAGTCTATGCATTCCCTACAGTAAGACTGACACCAACATACAGTGATTTCTCTTAACTATAATTTGTTTGATAAAAGCCAACATTAACTATAGCCAGCTGTGAAGTTGGTTTGTTACAACATAGTTAAAATCAGCTACAGTTTAACACTAAACTGTGGTTACCTGAAATAAGTTATTTATTTTATTTATCATGTCAGATGCAAATTGAGTTATAACGTATAGAAAAACCACAGAGCTAAAAACTTGGCATTATACTAAATTGGCTTTGACCAGAAGCTGACCACTTCAAGTGCCTCTGGTGTCGCTCTAAGAAGGTCCTCCACTGTGCATGCTGCAGGGCTCAGGCTGCATTTCAGTAAATGTTTCTCAACCTTCCTAATACCACCACCCTTTAATATAGTTCCTCATGTTGTGGTGACCCCCAATCACAAAATTATTTTCATTGCTACTTCATAACTGAAATGTTGCTACTGTTATGAACTGTAATGTAAATATCTGATATACAGGATGCATTTGCATTCACTAGATCAAATTTGGCACAAATACCTGATACACCCAAATTTGAATACTGGTGGGGTTGGGGGGGATTGATTTTGCCATTTGAGAGTTGTAGTTGCTGGCATTCATACAATCAAAGAGCATTCCGAACTCCACCAAGGATGGAATTGAACCAAATGTGGCACACAGAACTCCCATGACCAATAGAAAATACTCAAAGGGTTTGGAAGGCATTGACTTTGAGTTTTGGAGTTGTTGTTTACCTACGTAAACAAGGACTGTGTTTACGTAGGACTGTGGACTCAAACAATGATAGCTCCAGACCAAACTTAGTACAAATACTCAATATGCCCAACTGTGAACACTAGTGGAGTTTGTGGAAAATAGAGCTTGACATTTGGGAGTTGTAGTTGATGGGATTTATACTTGACATACAATCAAAGAGCATTCTGAACACCACCAACAATAGAATTGGGCCAAACTTCCCACACAGAACCCTCATGACCAACAGAAAATAATGTGTTTTCTGATGGTCGTTGGTGACCCCTCTGATACCCCCTCGCAACCCCCCAGGGGTCCCAATCTCCAGATTGAGAAACACTGTAGTAAATGATCTCTGGTTTGCTTTTCTCCAAACTCGCATGTTGTAGATTCTACCTGAAAGAAATGACACCTATTGCTTATGAGCTCACTATAAACGGTTGCTTTTGAATTATGAAACTGCCCAAATACCTGTGTAAAACCAAGAGAGACTTATGTAGACATGCCTCCTAACAGTTAGAAATTTTACCCATATTTTTCCTTTGTGGGCCCCTGTCTGAATTCCATAAGTTCCCTGCAATATCATGGGGTTTTTTTTTGTAGCCCTTATAATTTCTTCACCTATAAAGATGTCCTGAATCTGAGAATGTAATTGAAAGAGAGCATGTAAATTTATGAGAATTTGGAACATTTCTGGGATTTGTTGTTTATTTCTGAAGAAGAAGGTTTTAGTGTCCTGCAGCACAGAAAGTATACATACATACAAGAAAATAAAGCAATTTGAGATGAGGTTAAGAAATTAACTCCCAAGTGTAGCACTGAGTGAGGAGGAGGACAATAATGAATAGGTGAAGTGGATTTTTTACATGGAGAAAAATAATAAAGAAAT